ATGGTTCTTGAATGATTTTTAACGAATGATTTTTTTATACAACATTATACGATAGTGACATATTATGATTGTACACGTCCGTCAAACCCTCTGCGTTAGCTTGTAACAAATCAAAAATGTCTTAAATCGTCATTGAAAAGATAAATGTCACTTAATATAGATATTTATATTAATATATAGCAATATTTATTGTTTTTAAAAAAACCTACGTATAACTATGCTTTCGTATTAAATGATTGTTTATACGAGATAAAAAAAAAACTTTCGTCTACGTAGGAATAAAATATTGTATTCAAATCAAGACTGTACGAAATACCGTGCAGTCGGAAAACGAGATTGAAATATCACACTACTATCATAATATATATGCAAATAATAAATTCGTACGCGATATAACGATGGCATCACGGTAGAACGCCTATTTCACACCTATAAAACCTATCCAAGAACTGCTGCCCGTAAAAACGTGCTTTTATTTTGTGTAGCCAAATTATTTTTCTCTACCGCGCGTACACGAGACGAACGTTTTTTAAGTTTTTCGTGTCAAACACCGTATAAAATATGAACGCGTTAACGAATGTATTAAATTTCGTTTTGATTATGATAGCGAAACCCGTTTTTTTTTCATTCCGTCCGGGAAACCAATATTTTTTCGATTTTATTCGTTACGAAAGAGTTTATTGGATAATCGCACGAAAGCGGCCGCACCGAAAACATTAACCGGCCCGCCAATCCAAAGGTATTCCGGACTGCCGCGCGTTCTTAACAATATCCGTGGGTATTGTTGCGCGGTTCAACGCACCCGTTCAACGCGTATTTTTCACAAAAAATAATCCAACGCGGTTGTCGGTATAAAAAATTGCTCCGGTCTCCCGTAACGTGTAGCTGTGATGCCGCCGCGTCGTTATTAATATCGTTATTAATCGTTGTCGTCCGTTGTCCGGACGAACGTGTTCGCGCGTACGAGTGCATTGTATCGGCGATTTTCGTCCAAAAGCGACGAAATGGCCGCGCGCAAACGGGGCAACGACCACCGAGCTATATAGTCGGGGAGACGAGATGGATCGGCCGCGCGAAGAAGACACGGTTATTAGCGAACGCGCGGCGGTATCACCTATGACCCGCCGGACATTTTGTCGGCGCAACAGACAAATGAGTCGGTTTGTACCTGCGCACTCTCCACTTTCTAACCGCACGCGTACGTTATCCGTACGTGGGCACGGGCGCGGGTGGCCGTCTCGCACTCGGCCGGTTGCGCGAGCTCGCACCGGCACCAGCGCCCGTGTGTCATTATGATAATGCGCTACACGATTTGTTAATTGTTAACACGAAAACAATAGCTCCTCGGTCGCGCTGTAAGTGTATGCGCGCGCCGCACACGCGTACTCGAAAACACACTGTTGCGTGTGTGCACACACACCGCTCGCACGTCGCGGCCGGGGATTCGTTCGGATCTTCTTGTCCCCCGCCGTCACCGCCACGGCCGATTTATTTGATCGCGTACGCCGCCGCAACATCGCCGTCCGTTGTCTGTCGAACACAATTGTTTCCACGTAATGTATTCAATACTGTTATTCGTCTGCGGGCCGCGGTGCGTACCGTCCGTTCGAGCCGAAAAACCCGTCGTTTCGTTTACCCGACCGGGTCTAAAACGATCCACCCGTTCCAAACGGGAGATTTTGCGACGTACACTGTGCGTGGTCGAATTGCCTTTTAAAAATGTATTCATCCACGTGTTTCTGTAAACGGTATAAGCCGAGATTTGCTCGCATAAATAATGAGACTCCCGTTTAACATTTTGTGCTGCACGCGGAGTGCGTCCGTATTCGTACGCTCCTCGCACGTGGTACGTAACAAAATACTTCCGGCAGAACGACGAAAAACATGGATAGGTGCGCGAACCGTCGAAAATCCCGGAGTATCGCAGACGGAACAATAATAAACGGTTGTTCTCTCGCGTGCCTTGTGTTGTCCGCGCGTCGCATCGAATGGTTCGGATTTTCGTTGCCGACTGTGTAATATAATATTGCCACGGTTATGAGATCGAAATTCCGATGCGTTTCGGACGCGAGAAAACAGTCGATGCGACTACGTTGTTTTACGGCCGATCGGCAGACGAGGCATAAATAATAAAGACAATAACAGTACAAGTTTTATCTTACGATTGTCCGTTATGTACGTCGGCACGGGCCGTGACAAGTTAATATACGTTTAATTATTTGTTATCGTATCATTGTTGTCTATGAACATTATTATGTCTCTGTTTTTTATTTCCCCCTAGCCGTCCGTCACGGGCGGCGGCGATACCATCAATATTTTCTGATTTTCTTCGCAACGCAGACCGTTTAAAGCGTCGATGATACGTGTCATGATTCATTTCTTTCTCCAACCGAACACGCCTAACTCGCAGAAATGCACACGTGCACAGAAGGCGTATTATATGCACTGAACTCCGCAACGAAGTGCGTTTGAATGCAATGCACGCGCGCGTCCCTCGCCCATTTCCCGTGAATTTCCTTATAAAACTGTCGTCGACGTCGAACGGCGAGTTTAATGGGATGTTGGGCGTTATTTTCCGATGCGTGCGAATCGTTTTATGCTAATGAAACTGTCCGACGGTTTTTATTTATTATATTATTTTTGCATCCGTAGTGTATACGCACCCCCTGCTAGGGAACGTTTATAAAAGCGAAACACGTACAACGTTTCTACCTTTATCGAATGATGTTAGGAGATATTATATTATTACGAAACGCAATAGCGTCTTGATAATGAGTAGGTATGACCGCATAGGTGTCCAACATAATACGGCTAGCCGGCGGGCCGAGGAACGTTTTGGCTCGTGACACGGTTTCAAACTGGCTGCGATCGGTCAGATAAGACGTAGTTCATTCGTTTTTTTTTTAATGAATTTAAACCGAACAGAACAAAAACCACGAGTCAATAACTATTTAAAAAAACACAATAATTAATATTTTATATCCTATACCACCAGTTTATGAGGCTCAGTAAGTTTATAGCCCGATATAACATATCTACTTATCATATTTTAATATTAAAATTAATTAAACATTTTTAATGACATTTACGTTAATTCTAGTTGATTTATGAGTATATATGTACACACACACATGCGCGAACAAGTATATATATATATATAAATGTAGTTCATAATTCAATTGATTTTTTTCTTGTATCATTTTATATTTAGAAAGTAGAACAATTAAGAAAAATTAATACTGCCTCCATATATTATTTAGTAACATAGATTTATTCTAATCTAATCCATTAAATAGTTATTACGATTATTAATCTTTCGATAATATTTTGGATTCGATAAATCTATGTTCAATGAAATATAACGAAGGACGGTCATGTATCAATAGAACATTGGTCTGAAAAAATAATAAGAATAATAGTAAAATGGTCTAGAGCTAACTCCATATGACGATAAAAAGCAAATGATTGAATAATAACCACGGTAGATAAATAAATAATAAGAGATAGGGCAAAAAATATCTTTAAAAATAGATGTTTCAAAATTACTTATAATATACTTTTTCTATCATTTTATACGCTATATATAGCTGTTACTTATCGAGAAAGTTCATGATACATTTCATTCGAAGTTTCTAAAAATTTTTTTACGTATGAACTGTAAGGCAATTTAATAAATCCTTTATATAATCAATAAATAGTATTGAAGCTATTGTAATAAATATTATCAGTAAAATAAATAATTTTGACAAAACAAAATTCTATAGAATAATATTTGGAAACCGATTTACAACACTAGCATAAAAAATGATGGCAGTTCCTCCGAATAAATAGGCACACCTTAATTGTTTGTCATCGTAAAATGTCAATAAATCAAAAGACAATATTTTATAATTTCATAAAAAAAACCATTAGAAATTGTACGAATATTTTTGAATCGAACGAAAAAGTTAGATTCAACTTTTTCCGCTGCGCACACTTGAATTTGTATTTTAAACAAGTCAATTCGAACGCGACCCTCTAATACAGTTAGACAGTTATGAATTAAACGGCGAAGACGATTTAGGCTTACATTTCGAGTGATGAATAAGTTCAAACCCTGTACAATGCGTCGTCTAATCGATTCGTCCCACGTGCAGTCGGTCGCGGAACGGTAAACGGTAGAAACACGTTGTGGTACAACCCAGAGGCTAGAAGCGTCTGGAGTCGCAGGAAGGTCAAAACGATTTCGCATGCACCCGGCTAATGGCATCAGCCACCAGCAGAGTTGTAGGGCTATGGACAGTGGCGTGGCGATGTGGATAATCGAGAAACAGTCGCCTCTCAATTTTTGGGGGTTGGGTGGTTATTGATAAAATATACTTGCTTCTGAAAAATTTTGAGTTCGCCACGCAACTGGCTACAAGGGACGCGCAACAACTACTGTATATTAACACGGTGCACGACCGGGTTCCAATGACTGGTAAGGTTTGCGCGGATCGCGTTGTCGAATCATACCCGTGTGGGAAAGAAGATCCTGCGTACGTCGCGCGAACCGTCCGAGTGAACCGAGTGTGACAAAAATTCGAGACGAGATTAGTGTACTATCGAATTACACGTCGTCGAAAACACGTTTGATATTTAGGCGGTTTTTTAAACCGGGTTCACGTTACAACGGATTTTTTTTTTTTAGAACACGTGGTACAATTACGACAAACACGTCAACGCGAGAGAATAAAGTACGGTACCGATGCGTTCCTTACGCTAACCGCACCCGTCGGATCTTGTTCGTATCGATGTTGATCCATCACGTCCGTCGTCGTGTGGGATCCGAATTGAAGTCGACGAGCAAAGTTGAACGAATTCTCGGCTACCACGAAAACGCGCAATAAACCGACATGAACGTGACCGCGCGTCGTTCGGCCTATCGGCACGCGAGACGACGAGACACGACGCGGCATCACTACACGCTAAGCACTAAACCCCTGTCGCTCTATTAAAACGGAAAAATAAGGAGCACCGACCTTGTTCAGTATGCCGCGCTTGAAGTTCTCCCGGGTGTACTTCCCGTTGACGCTTTCCAGTTCCAGGTGTTGCGCACACTTCCTCAACATAGACGTCCTTTCCCGTTCCTTGATGCTCTCCATCTCCATCGTCGACATGCTCGGCTGCTGCTTGCTCGTCAGGTCCACGCTCACCATACCGTCCGTCAACGACCGTCTTGTCTCGTTGGACTCCCGGCCGCCGCCGCTAGCGACAACGCTACTCGGACAGCACGGTTCCATGTCATCGTTGCGCGAGTACTTGCGGTTGCCTTGCGGGTCAGCGTCCCACGTCACCGACATGTCGCCGAGCCGGCCCAACGACTTGCGCCGCATGGCGGCTGCGTCGTCCGCCGCTGCGCGTGTCGCGTTTTGCTGGTCCATGGTACCTTGCGCCCGCGGTGTGTGTGAGTGTACGGTGCGTTCCCCGTCTAACACATCTCTGAAACGGAAACGATATTATTGTAACGTGGTCCGGCGGTGTATCCATATCGGTTTTTTTTTTCGTTTTTTTTAAACCAGCGTTTCCCAAACCGGGGTCCGCGAACGGAAATGAAGAGTACATAAAGTACCTATCTATAAAAACGAAAATACTGATGTAATATTCGTATTACATAGGAAATACTGTTGATAATAAATACATTATCGAAGTAGTTATCATTGAAAAGCAATTAATACTAGAGACTAACTGATCGCGTTGGTTTATCGTTATTTATCATAAAAATATGCGCATTTAAATCAGAAAATAAAGCAATCAATTTAGTATTATTTGTTATTGTTCTTAATTTTTATTTGTATTAAGGGCTCCGCGATCATTTTTATTATCTCTAAGGGCTTCGGCAGATAAATAGTTTGGGAAATGCTGTCTTAAACAATATAAAATACATGGGTACACCGTTTTTTGAATCGGGCACGCACACCGGATGGCTACTAACACGGCGTGGGGCACAAATAGCGCGGGACGAAGAGTGAATGCGTTTTCACAGCGTTGAGTTTAATTGACAAAAAAACTATTTGGATAAGGTACAGATAATTTCATAGAAAAATTATGGGCGATTGTAAACTCCACCAGTTTTTTTTGTGTTTTGCCTGTAAATCCTTTCGTACTATGAAATTCATAGTCATCTAAGAAATTAATTTTATAAAAGTCAACCGAATGTTCATATTTTTATTAAAGTTCTTATCGAATTTCAAACCCATACTTATATAAAACTAAATAGTAAATCTCAAGTAAATAAGCGAAAAAATAAATAGGTACACTAATGGAGTAATACAATACTTAGAATATTAACAAATTGTATCACATCATTTTAGTTTACATACATGACATAACTATATATTTTTGGATTATAGATATAATGATTATTTATTATGATTTTTTTTACCATAATTTAAATATTTAATGTGAATGATATGATATTATATTATATTATATTATAATTTTTTTTAATAATGTATCATATTAATTTTATACTACTACTTGATTTTCTTCACTGACGAAGTTTATATGAACTGAATTTCACGTAATTTTTGTCAGTGGCAGAGTTTTACCTATTTTTTTTTTCTGGCGGAGTTTATATGCGCCCAAAAATTATTTAGATAAAGATAAAAAATATTATTTTAATCTAGATAAAAATAATACTAAAACGTTATTTAAGTTATTATTATTATCCACAGTTAATCTATCTTCGGTGCATACGATCAAAATACCATTCACTATTTACATTATCAAACTTTATTTAAGAAAATTTTTTTATGATTCATTATTATTTGCATTTATTTTGGTTTTTTTTTTTTATGTTCTCTAATCGAGCACTTCAAAAAATAAAATACATTCTTAATACGACACAGTAAAACAGTCCGTCGAAAACAATCTCAGAGCCCACATATGAACGATCACTTTACTTAAGAAGGCATTCTCGCTTAAGCTGATCGAATATAAAATCTATTTTCGTTTTTTCTTATTTTTATGCGCCTATACGTGAATAATATGTTCTACATTTCGTTATTACTCGCATCATTTATGAACACCAAAAACATCGTGGTATAAATATATAAATGTATAGGTATAATATATCTGCTATATACATAATTTATGATTTGCATAGAACGCGCAATATTACAGCGTAATAAACATTTTATGCGCAAACTGTTGTACGGGTACACGGGATAGGCTATACGTTATTATTGCTATCTTGGCAAAACAAAAACAAAATTTCATACTATATCGTATCGAGTTAGAAGTCAACGCATATTATTTATTCATCTATCATCGATTACGATTTATCACCGAACGTTTTCAAATCCAAACGATATGTTACTGTGGCGCGTATAGGTACGTTTCGAATCTTATTACCCGATGACCGGTTAGGATTTCGTGAGTAGCCCGCCCAATCGATTTTTTTTTCTATTTGCATTGTTCAAATAAACATCCACGTGCGCGCATGCACACACACACACACACACACACACACACGCATACACGCATACACATGTTCACATCATTTCGCTGTCAGATTGATCTCTGTACGGTTTCCAAAACGGCACAGCAGTCGGTCGGTCGGTCGGTATTATTATATTATTATTATTTTAATTTATTTTTATTTTTATTGTTGATTGATCGACGATTAAAACGATGTATAGGTACTTTATCGATTCCATCACCGTAACAAGAGCAGTTCGGTGTAAGTTTGTACAAACGCAGGCACGATGTTTCCTTCATGTAGAAACCGATGTCGTGTGTCTGAAGCCGACTGGCCATAAGTCTCAAAAAGAAGAACGCTTGTATTGTAGTCACACAAGTCACGAATCGCTGGCACTTATACTAACAGTAAATAATGACGCTAAAAAGAAATGTTTGTACAGAGATTGACGTCTGACAACAATTTTACTAATACAGAGTCAAAAGCAATTAAAAAAACTGTTGTTGTAGGACTAACCTTTTTAGACAAGTAGTGAATTCGACGCTTTTATATTTATTCTTCAAATAAAATCAAAGTCATAGTACACGCGTGTAATACAATACCTACAATGAAAATTATTTATCAACTAAACCATTTAAAACACATTATCTATGATACACGTTTGGTAAAAATAACGTAAAGTAACTTTGTTGTAAGAAAAGTGCGTTTTTTAAAATTATCTTTTATTTAATATTTCTTCGAATGACTATTTATAAAAATATTAAAGAAAATATTATTTCAATAAATTCCGAAATTTTAATTATTTAGTTAATATATACAGTTTTTTTATTAGAACACATTGAAAAAAAAAATGATTTAACAATAATAATTATAATAATATTATTAACTATAGTACAATTAGTAATAATTACGGTTGAAAAATGTGTTAAAATGAAGAAACCGTTTTACATTCCATAAACGGTTTCACTTGTAAATACGTAATGTCCGATGAATAATGATTGCCATCGATCTTTCGTGGTTTTATTAAATTATATAACTTTTCCCTTCATTCCATGGAATTATGTTGGTTTATTTTACAATTAGCAAATATTTTCTACATATCCAATACTTCGTCTTCGCGGATATCGATTATTTTTATTTTAAGAGTTAAGTCGAATTCAGTGAAAAAGCGCCATAACAACTTGCACAATGAAGTTTACGACCACATTTAAAATCAATGACGTTGAACAATCTTAAAACGTTTTCCTTGTAAACAAACGGTCGTATTTATAAAACATTAAAAAACCACTGTTAAACGGTATATTAACTAATTTGCATAGGTAGCTGAAACCTTTTATCGTTCCGAGCACATAATATTCATTCGTCTTAATTGTTCTATGAATGTCCGAAGTTTATTTATTCACGCATGTGAATACATACTAAGTATTTGCGTGTATTGTATATGCAAACACCAAAACGCTAAGAATACCTTTAGACTTGAGAAATACATATTTTTTTTTTAATTTTTTAATTTATTATATTGTAAAGAGGGATTCTCGAGATACAGTTATTCTACAATTCTACGTTTAAATCAAACCTATTACGTGTATCAGCTATTATAAAAGTTATTTATTGTATTGAAATTGCAACTGATATGGTGGAAATAAAAAATTATATTTGTAATCGAATCATTTTTATTCTTTATTGTATTATGTAAACAAGGCAGAAAAGTTATAATTTATTTTGTCCAAATAAATGTTAAATAAATGTTTTATTATTATCTAAATTTTATTACTCAATCAGGTACAGTGTTATCAAAACGTTATTAAAACCTTGTTGATGAGTTGATCAACGTATATCGCTCGGAAATGTTTTTTCTCAAATGGAAAATGTAATGCGAAATAATAATGACATTAAGGGAATACTGTGGTATGAACCTCGTGGGCAAGTATCCAAGTACTAGTTCTGGTCTGCGATGAATATTTAATACGTATGTACAGGCATCATTACGTGGTGTTAAGTGTATGGAAAACACCTATAAGACTGGTGAAAAAACATTTTATACCAGTCTACAATTGGACGAGGTGCAAAATTACTAAAAAGGATAAGCTGTACGTTGTCGGATACGATAAAGTGTTGATTGCCAAGTGAACGTAAAAGCTTACGCGTTCGCGCAACACGTATGATTTGCGTACCCGCCAGTGGCGTATATAGGGGGGGGGGGGCCTAGTGGGCTACAGCCTCCCTCCCGAAATGTTTTAAAAAACTTAAAATTGATTTTAAACGTATGTTATATTTTAATGGTGCTTTATGCTTATTTAGAATTTGCGTCCAACGTCAATTCGTTTTGTGACATTCTGCAAATGAAATGTAGATAAGTACCTACTGTGTCTTGTTAGTAGTTCATAGATAGCAGTGGTAAATTAACTCTGTCCATAGTAGCCCCTCCCGAAAATATTTTCTTTATATGCGACTGGTACCCGCGTTATTTCCGAAGTAGCGGTCTCGCGTGCGCACGCCTCGGTTGATCATTTTCATGCGCGCGGTCGTCAGCGGACAAATTAGTCCGGTGCGTGATTTTCCCGCGCGCGCGCGCACCGTTCGACCGCTGCGCATGTAATCATAACACGCGCGCGCGACCATAATTACCGCCCGGTACAGCGGTACACATAATCGAGCGCCCGCAAACGATCGATAGTGCCGGGTTGTGATCGAAGTGGAAAAAAAAAATCCACGAGGTGTACGGCGAACAAGTACACGAATGAATATGCCCCACACGGGTAGTACCTGTTGTAGTGTTTGCACACGACCGCCGTTGCGGTCGTGACCGGCTAAATATTTATAATGAAACCGCCGCGGCCATTCGTAGCCCGCAGACACGTTCGCGAGACACCGATCGACTTCGATCGGATCTTTGTGAATCGAAAAGAGTTTCATAAATACCGTGAAAAGCTGTACGACGCGCGTACGTCATGGCGTTTTCGTTGCGATCGATCGTCGAAAACGTTACTCTCGTCGCCGGGCACTGGAAATGTGTGTTAACGTGGTCGAAACGATTTCCGCGTTAAACAGGTTGTCCGACCATTAGATCATTTATAGTGATGGTGGTGATCAGGACCGACATGATTTTCGTAGAAAACAATTATTGTTTATTTTTTATTTTTATGTATATTTTTTCGTCTTCCTCCCGACGGAATATCGGTTATCGGTCACCGGTAATCCCGGTAATCAATCATATGATTCTACAACTGCAAATAAACGTAACAGATAAGGAGAGAAAAAATATCCAAGGCATAACATACGGTTAGGTATACTAGGTACGCGTAGTTGGACGGCTATTAATTTTCGCGTTAATACCTGCAGGTCTAATTTATTCCGGGTAAAACAGAATGGTATAAATCGAAAACTTGATCCACATACGGTTATTATTTTACGTTCGGAGCGATATTTCTCAACGTAATATCGCATGTTATGTGTTAGCGCATACTTGTCGAAGAATATTGATTGAGATATCTTTGTATAAATATATGTAAATATTTTTCAGACGATATTTTACTGTCAAACAATGGAAATAACACGTTTGATAGTGTTGTTGAAAAAAAATAAAATAAAATACAGCCATTGGTTTTACAAAAATTGTTTTGTTTTACATAACTCAATAATTACGTTTGCAACAACTAATATCTGACCAAATAATAAATAACTCTAGGTCAGATAAACGATTATAATACCAAATATTTAACCATCATCTATCAAAACACTGCTTACGATTTAAATGTTAATACTATGTGATCACGATTAATTAAACTTGAAAAATAAATAATATAATTTTAAATTAAGTTCCTGTATTAAACTTATATAGATAATTTTTAGTGATAATGATTGTGTTATTAGTTTTTCAATTTTTAATCTAATGAATATCAGTTTAAATGCTATACAAAGGTATTTCATAAAAATAAAAAAATAAAACTAAGAATCAAGTTTAAGTATTGAAATATTTTTAAGATTTGTTTAATAATTCATTAATATGAATAATATGAAAACCATATATTGTATTAAATAATATAAGATTGTAATAAGCTGAAATGTATTTCTAATTTAAATATAATATATTTAAATTAATAGGTTTTTATTTCGTATATATATATTTATTAGTAGCAATGTTTTTTTAAGAATTTAACTAAATAGTAAATAAGAATTAAGTATTGAATTAAAATATTTTAATTTTACACGACATGAGTTTTGTATTTGCCATTGATTTTTTCAAGTTGTATACAATAATTATTGACATAAAATAACCATATTATTAAAAAAAATAATAAATTTTAATAATTTATAGTATAAGCCTTTTTATTATATATTCAATATTATATATAATATAATATAAGCAATTCATTTAAATTCTAATTCAAAACGTATTTTAGCTTTCATAAAGTTACATTAAACGCTTATATATTTAAAATTGTTAATCATAGTTAATACAAAATTTGTTTGATAACAGTACATTTTTTAAAAATAAATAATTTTGACGATATTTTTGTATAAAATTAAGTATATACAATATACTGATTATAAACATTACGTAGGTACATTGTAATCAATAATTTTTTTTTAATGATTTTCTTAATTCGACTGTTTTATTTACTCAAAATTGCAATTTATTTTTTTAAAACAATGTCGTATGATTTATCCCTAATCATGATTATTACTGCTAACATTTTTCTGAATATACTATACTATTGCAATACTATTGAATATATATATTTAAAAGGATTAACATTGATGTGAATTATTTATTCGGTTATTTCAAAATATTATATTGTACGTCATGTTAAAACATATAATCTATAAATTCGTCACAGTAACAAGATGATAAGAACAATAATAATGGTCAATCGGACAAAATACAATACGTACAACATCAAATTGCATATAATTTTTAGTACACTAAAAACGAAATTGTACACGACGTACGAAATAGTTGAATATCAAGAGTCAAGATGAACAAAACTCACCTCAATTTTAATCCAGATTTTAATCCAATAACATAAACGAAATGCTGCGTGTCGGTATGAACGCACAACAGATAAAATCACAACGAAAATACCGTCGCACTGAACGGAGAAGAGAAAAAAAAATTAAACTGGAAACGAAGACCAACGTAGGGAAATGCCGAAACCGAAAGTTAACCGATAAACTAGACGAACTCGTGTAATATATTTTGCGTGTCGGGTGACCGGAGCCGACAATTGGTAACTGGTGGTCTAAAACTCGTCTTCCAGGTACCCAGCATCCCGCGACAAGGCGGTATCCGTTCCTCTCTCTGCCCCTTCCCTTGTTTGTTTTGTTTTCTACACACTGCCCATTTGAATACGATACACACACGCACCGCGAGACTATCTAATGTGTAACGTTCAGCTAATAGGACACCGTGTCGCACAAGGATTTCAGTGAAAATCATGACAACTCAAGGCGATCGCGCGCGCGCGCCCGCGGACTGGCCAATCGGACCTTTGATCGCGTCCGATTCGTCGATATATTTTCCCTCTAGTGTTCTAAACAAAAACGTCGATACGGATTGTTGCGATACTATTACGTCGTGCGGGTTATACTCACTATCGAGTTCTTGGAACGTCGACAGATTATTCATAACGGCTAGTAATGGAATTATTTGTTAAATACCGATCGAAGATAATAAGTTTTTACTCACAATAATAAACACGTCCGATTTCTGATCGGTAATGAAATCGATAGTTGCGTTAACCTATTCGTGTACTACATGTACACGGTCAAATATAACATATATATTTTATTTTGGAATCATAAGACTGTACGAAATATTAGTTTGATTACGCGTATTTTTAAGATCTCAGAAATTTAGTTCGTTAAATAATATGAGTGTATACTCCTTGGTAATACTCCCATTTTCGTAAAACTTCCTGATAGCCAAAATCTCGCTTAGTCTGGATTGTCCTTTATAGCATATATCTCTAAAGATAATAATAGATAAATATAAAAGCCGTTTATAATAAGTCGTAGAAATAAAACGTATGGCAAAATTACGTCCGGGTAACCGCACCATTATTACTGCGGCGATTTCAAACGTTTCATTTCTTTCCAACCTATGTTATATTATAATTATATTAACAACCGTATGGCTTTTCTCGTCCTTGTGCGGTACAAGGAAAACGTGTTAAAACCAAACGAAACGTGTTATATTGTGTACTTATCTCTCTTGCGTGCACCGCAACTCGACGGATCATAATATCCTCAGACATAAAACCAAACTTCTATCGACATTTATTTTTTCACGGCTGAACCACGAAATCCGATCGTTTTCTGTAACAATAATTATACCGCACCGTTAGTGCTCACGAATTCCAGGGACCGTTGTTGTACAATATTCCCATGGTGTGTTTACAGTGTTGGGACCGCTGCGGAACGTATCAATTGATTTTAAAACGGTCGCCGTACACATTAATTGACACTTGATGACAAGAAGTTAGAGGGTATGTATAAGATTCCGGTTGAGCGATGGCAGTGGCGGTCACTTCCACAAACGGACAAAACCGCATGTTAATACGATCAGTAGGGTCATAAAGTATACCGCGGGAAACGGGAAGCCGCCATCAATGTTCGATACACATACTATATACGTGTGTGGTTTCATTTTCTTTTTTCTTTTTTTTTTTTTAATCGTATATCATTTCAGGTATAAAAAAAAAGAGAATGAGAAAATAAAACATTAACAAGTATTGCCTATAATGTCGTGGGACAGCGAAAACAAAAGTCGTAACATGTGTTGTGTACATGTATCGCGTAATATCACGTTGACGATAAAAACCGTTTAAAGAGGAAACCATATTCAAAGGAGAAGTGAACAATTAATATTTACCCCAATAATGTACCAATGCTTTAACTTGACTCGTCTATCGACTTATATACGATATGATCATTTTATTTTATTATTATACACGAATTGCAAATAATTGAACTCATTTTTTCGAAAATTTTATACTTATTCACAATCAAAATAAATTTATTCAAGTATTGTTATTAAATTATATGAACTTGATCTTTGTTTATTTGGTAATTGTTTTAACATTATGTTCACTGAATATTTCAGCGTTTATCAGTTTCTTTATTATTGAAAAGTGTTAATATAACTACACGTAAAGATTTTCTAATTGGAACAGTGAAGTGAGTATCATATTATACAGGTAGGTTAGGAATTTAATTTTAAAATTAGAATTTTAGAATATATAGTCTGAGGCCTCGTGTATACCAACAATTTTGAAATACTTGTACATTGATTTACAATTGAATATTAATAACATAAAAAAAAATTATGTTTAGTTTAATATTATGTTAAATGTAGCTAGTGAGCTTTTTGTCAGACATTTATCGACCTTCTTAAAATTTTTTTTAAGGATTGTGAATTACACGTCGAGTAAAATATTTATATCGGTTTGTTATCCTAGTCCATCATAGGAATTCACAAGATAAGTATTTGAAAAGTTCTAATTAGTAATACTAGTGTGCGGTTATCCAATTAAAGTGGAATTTTTGCGCGAGTTTTGATTGACATTTTTTTTTTTTTTTTAACCACAACTACTAGTAATACTTGTTATCTTATGTATGTATTGAATATTAACGTAACAAAGGTTAGAACAGTTAACGTATTAGAAGTTACCATGGTCTTAATTGATAATTGATTCATCAGAATACATATATTATTATTTACTATAATTATGTATAATAAAGATATATAAATCAAATAAGAATAATTAGTTAAATAATATTTATAAAATAAAAATATTAACTACTTGTACATCATTTTTTTTACTTATAAAAATATTTAAATTCTTAGATTTGTTGATATACATTTAATTTAAGATGAGTTTCGATGATAAAATACATAATATAAATTAAAATATAAAAACACAAAATTTATAAATGTATATTGCGTTCAACAATTTAAATATACTAACTATATAAATATTTTTAAAAAATTAATTTAATTAAATATTGGAATATAATACATTCATAGAAAACAAACACAAAACAATACAAACTTTTAATTTTTGGGCGATAAATTTTATTAAGATGATTCAATTAAAACAACGTATTCTACATTTTATCACCCATCAAAATTATATGTTAATATTTGTACGTTCTTGAAATATCAAAAGAATAATTAATTTATGAATCGAACAATTAAATTTTTTACTGAATTGAAAATAAGATTGAAAGGATACATTAAATATTCTGAGCACATGTCTGAGAGCTGTGAAAGACACGCAATACAAATACTAACCGGATTCTATACGTCAGTTTTTTTTTTTTTTTTTATATAAAGCATGTTTTTTTTTATAAACATCTAAAACTCGAAGCTAAGGTAGTTACTATAATACAAACTATTTTAAGTTATACAATTAATTGTTTAAGAGTAGTTAATTTTTATTTAAATAGATAATCATAGAATTAATTTGATTATTACATTATAAATAATTTTCAGATAGTAAAGTAAAAAAATCATTAAAAACTAAATTAAATTCTATATATAACTATCAACATTAATATTAAAGGTCTTACTAACATATATATTTTATGATTTTCCCAAGAAAAAACCCATCAAATTGTGACACAATTCACTCCGAATATCCATCTCAATACTTAACTATTTTGAACCAAATACATTTTAAATATCGTTAAATATGAAAAAAAAATATATTTTTTGATTTGCAACAAATTACAAAATAATTGATTTGAATCAATGTTTAAAACGAGGGTTATTTTGATTTTGTTTTTTTAGGGAGATTAGTTCAATATTAACTCGGGCTTAAAGAAAAATCGTTTACATCATTAGTTTCTGTAGAAATATACCAAAACACAATAAAATAATTTTAAAAAATACAATAAATTAATGATTTTCTTATTTGTTATCTACGTTATAATTATACTGGATCAATATTTTTAATATTATCGTTATCCTATGCGTTGTAAAAAATTTTACGATTAACCAGTTTCATTATTTATTTATTACTGTACCTATAGTTATATTGTTATTTATATTATTGTTATTTTAATTTCTTGCATTTCTATGGCTCATAACGAGTATAAAAACATTTATAACTAAATAGCCCCCTGGATACTTATGATAAAATATGAAGAATACTTTATATGTATATATAATACATAATTATAGATCTATATATTAATTCTTGTTTTCGCAATACATGTTTTAATTTATTAAATTGAAATTAATTTTATAGTCATTGAACAATATAATATATTTAAATTTTTAACTATTGGCTGTAATTTTTTAAACACATTTCTATAATAATTTCTTTTAAAAAAAATATTAAAACACGACTAATGGCTATGTACGATTAAAATTTAATAAAATCAGTCAGAACAATGCAATGCAATGCGATTTATTGCAATTACAATTCAATTTAAAAATATCAAAGAAAAACATTAAACAAAAATATTTACAAAATAGAAAATTTTAATTATTTTTAAAATAAATTCGTAGTTTATTTTATTTAATTAAATTAATAGTTCTGAATTCATCAACATTTCAAAAATGTTAAAGTATTCATTATCGCAGGATTGATTAGATAGATGATATTGATTAAATTTACAAATTTTTCATTGTCTAAATTTGACGTTTTATTATGGTATGTTATAATTTCATTCGTGAGGATATTGACAGATAAAATTGAAATGTGTGATGATAATCATGAATATCAAACTGAAGAAGTGAATAATATCACGAATTATTCATTTCAAAGCATTTTTCTACTGTAATATGTATAGCCAATTATTTTCAAAATCATAAGTGAAAGCTTTTTCTATCGATTTTGAGTACAAAAAAAAAAAAAATCGAAAAATACTCTTAAGTATATAATATAGTAAACAATTTAAAATAATTATAAATGTATAATATTTATCATAATTTGTAAAAGTAAAATAATAATATAAAACATTATTTGAATCGAAGTGAATAAGATCAGACGAGTGTTCAACGTTCGGTATTAATACACATTTTATCCGTAAAACTGTTTAACATATACGTCCGTGTAACAATCCAAAATAGTAGACCAGCTAATGTGTGAAGAATTTCTGTTTTTTTTTTTTTTTTACATAAAATTTTATGACTTTCTGTCAAGATAACGAGACTGAGTGTTCACACAGATTCCACCTTGCTAGTATGTACGAATACTTCTGTTGACGATGTTGGTTTACTATAACGATTTATAGTAATATACCCGCTGTAA